ATTTATTGATTTTGGTGCCTTAGAAGCAATGTGTTGACCTGTCCCTCCTATGCCTTTGTGTGATGCCAAACTAATGAAAAAGTCTCTTCACTGTCCCTCCACTAGTTAAAAAACAAGAGATGCAATGTAGCTAATTTCAATTTTGTTTGTAGCCAGTTCCTGTTGAATCTTACAACAGATTGAGCCAATTCTCATTCCATGAGAGAAGGGAAAAGAAAATAAAAATTCATAGATTCTTTAAAAAGGAAAAATTATCACAAAGCAACATTGCAAGTTTCAAAAGTTTTCCAGTAACCATTAAAATGTTATGGTGAGCATTGCTACATTATCTCTTCTTTCCTCTTCTGTGGTTTCTGTTTTCTTCTGACAAGTGACAACTAAAGCAGTTTGTCTTGTAACTAAAAATAAAATATTATCCTATAAACATCTAAAGGTTTTTTACTAACATAGCGAAGAAGTAATGTGAAACTCTTCTCTGAAAGTGTGAATTTCATGCAGAAGCTGAGCAAGAATTTGATGGAAATTGCTCGGTTCAGGTGTACAGTGTTCAAGCTTGCATCCCAAAGGATCCAGCAGCACTTTGGAATGCTGAATTTGTCCAGGCTGAAGAGCTTTTCAAGCAACATTCAAATATTGATAATTGCTTAAGGGATAACAGGCATGCCTTTTCTGATTATTTATTTTAGTGCAGATTTTTGAGAACTTGGTAGTTGGTTCTTTCTCTGGATATCTTAGAGTAGAACATTTTTCTTTTGGAGAAAAATGCATTGCATGCAGTTGTGGCCTCTTGAACTGCTTATGTTCTCATTTATCATTATTTGTTGATAAAAAAAATTCTATCATTGTGTTAGGATATGCGTGTAGGTTACTATCACCCTGACTGATTATTTAGCTCTGAAGTGTTTCATTAATTAAAAAAATGAGATTTGAAACCTTTTTCTTCAAGTTTATTATAAGCAAACATCTAAACTATTTGTCTACAGTTTTACTTGTTGGCAAGTTAGTCAAAGTGCTAATGGTTTTTTGGTCCTACAAATGAATGCTGCCAATCCGAGTATGTGGGAGACTTCATCTGATTAATAAACAACTATCTAGCTCTCTTGAAAAGAGGGTTTTAGCAAAGACTGTCTTGGACAATGAAACCCAAAGGGCGATACATAGAAAACCTTGTATTAAAACCACCATATTATCATGTTACACCTTTTTATTTATTTTGTGTGAATGATATTATTTGAACTACCTTTGAACAATATTTTCATTGAATACCCAGGCAAGCAACTTAAGGATTAATAGACCGAAGATATTTTTCCTTCTGGATAG